TGCACTGAGGATCGTTCAACCAGAATGCCGCTCACATTCACAGAGAAACACACACACACACACACACACACACACACACCTCTTAACTGTTATCCTCTACATAATTTAATTGCTATGCATGATCATTGTTTTGCTCCACCTAATTATGCACAAATGAAAGTTGCTCATATAAACAATTTGGGATTATTTTTTGCAAAACTAGGTACCTTTTTTAAAAGTTTCTTTTGTACTAGGATTCTTTGAAACAGTAGAAGTTACCTGATGCCTACCTCAGATCCAGGTTCTCTTCTTCCCTAGTAACAAAATAGCAACCAGAAGGGGAGGGTGGGGGGGGGGGAGAGTATTTTTTAAACTACATTTCCCAAACCCCTTTGCAGCTAAGGCGTGGCCATCTAATAGACTTCTAGCCAATGAGATGTCAGAAGCCATTAGGTACCCATTCTAGCTGCTTAAAGGCAGAGGGAGGCGGGGTGGTGTAGAGTGCTGACTCAGGTGAAACTGTGTGCCCTCCTCCCTTCCTGCTACCTGCAATTCTGTGTGACTGAGGGAAAGGCCAAAAAGTCTGGCCTTAAAATCCACACCACACCAGCACTGGACTTCACAGGCAGTGGGAAAAATAAATATCTGGTATTTGGGTATTCTGATTTAGGCAGGAAAACTATATTCTGTTCCAAGCTACTACAAATACCTTCTTCCCGTCGACTAGCTCATCAAAAAACCACAGCAAGGTCCTAATTAAGAGACAGCTGTAAATCCCATTCTATTCATGATGTCTCAAAATCCTGACTATGCTATTTCACCATGTTGTGTCTTTTGGCCCCAAGACAACCCGACCGGAACTGCATCAGCTTGCACACGCAAAACCAGTAATGTGGAGATCAGAGCCATCTGCAAAATCTAAACCCCAATTTTTATTTCCATTTGGGCCGAAAGCAAGATGTTCCTTTCGGAGGTGGGAGGCCCTCAGTTTCCCTCTTAACTCTGTGTGACTCAAGCTGAAAGCATCCCCCCCCAATCATTCTGGACTTTTCTGTAATCTCTGCTCCTTAATACGTGCAAGGCAGTGCCGGCCATCACCAACCGCTTATAAAAGCACCCCTGTCCCGGGTTGGGATCGGGGATACAACCCTGGCCAGTAGCTGTATCTCTCGCGCATCTGAGTATTTGCTTCAGTTCCCCACTTGTTTCTGTGTGAGGGTAGGCCTGACCTCCGAGCATGGCTGAACATGACTCATAGTCAAACCGAGAGTTTCAACGCTAAATGGGACAGCATCGCCATCTCTGCTTTCCTTCCAGCAGATTATTCAAATACCATCGAGTTGAAGTCAAGCTGTCCCACGTCCCGCACAATCTGGCTCCAAAGGCCCCGTCAGAGCCCCTGGGCGAGCTTCCTGCGCTGCACTGTAATCTTTCTCGGTGAATATGTGACGATTGCATGTTTTTGGCCCAATTCTCCCCTCCCGCCTCCTGTGCCCTAGAGATCCCGATGCCTCCTTATGAAAACCATGTGCGCCTTATCTCTTCCCATGCAGTGGCTGAAGCCAAAACGCAGGCTGGAAAACACTCCCCTGGCTGTACTGTTTCCCATCATGTCTCTCTGACACCTCCAGATAACTTGTTAGCATATTGTCCTCTCCTAGGCCGCGCAGCCCCGCTGGGCGTCTGGGGGCTTGATGACATCACCCCGGAATTTATAATTAGAACCAAAAAGGCCACATCTGTAACACCAGCAGGCAATTTGAGAAATGCTAAGAAGCTGCTGGGGAGACTCTAAATGAGGTTACCAGGAAAAGTTCTGGAAACAAGTGGCCAGTGGATCTTCCTCCTGCCAATGCCGCAGCATCAGCCACAGGCCAGGGCTGAGTGGAGAGGCTGGGGGCCAGCCTCTGGCATTGTACAGGCGCTGTCTCCGGCCATTGGCCCTTCCCAGGCAGAGCTGTGTTTCTCAAAGTTCCTGGAAGTCTTGGAGAAGGGGTGTGCATTTTGCCACTGTGGACCAGGCAGAGGGACGTTGGCTCTTTGAGATTTTATTCATTCCGTGTGCTTTCTCCTCCCAGCAGGGTCTTTGTGGCTGCCATCAAGGGTGTGTTCCTATGAGTAACAGAACCAGAGCTCTGCTGGGTAACGCGTTAGCCACTAGACACGTGCAACTGACTATTGAACACAAATCTAGACTTAAAAGATTAAATACGGCTCAGTGGCAGTAACTGCGTGTGGGCGGTGGTTCCCTACCGGACCCGCTTGGCCCCCTGGGAAACTCTCTTTGCACCGTGCCAGACTGGGTTTTCGGATCTGGCTCAGACACTCTGGCCAGGACACCTGCTGTGGGGGCGTGGTCGTTCCCAGATCCCTCTTTCACTCCCGGCGACTCGGCCACCCTCTCGCCCGGGGTGAGAACCCTTCTGTGGGTTGCGACTGCCCGGCTCTCCCCGCCTCCCCGACCCTCGCACCCACCCAGTCCAACTATCTCACTCGCAGGAGACAAACCAGCCAACCCCCGTGAGCGCGCTCTCCGCGCTCCCAAAGCGATCGTTTCCTTCTCGGCGGCTTCGGGTTTGCTTCTTTCTTCCCCTTGCCCAGGACAGCTCAGCCCGGCCTCTCTGCCCCGGGATGGCCGCAGATCGGACGGGAGTGGGGAGGCGGGAGGCGGCCCGGGCTTCCCGCGGCGACGCGCCCTCCCCGGCGCGCCCAGCAGAGGGCATCCGCGCCCGCGGGTCTCGGGGAGTCTCGGGGAGTCTCGATCGCTAGGGATTTTTTTTTTTTCTTTCCAGCAGTGACACTTTGTGCGAGAGCCGCAGTGCAAGGTGCCAGGCTAGGACGCGCGCCGCGGACCGGGCTTTGCGGAACACTCGGGACCCGCGGTCCTGCGGGCCGAGAGGAGCCCTCGCGGAAGGCGGGGCTGCCAGATTGTGGCGACCGTGAAAGACGGCCCTGGGGACCAGACGCGCACGATCTACGCAGCTTGCTTGGGCAGGGCTGTCCACACCGCACGCCATCGGTCGGGCGCAGCCTCTTGTTCGCTCTCTCCCTCGCCCTCTCCACGCCCTTCGCCTTCTCCCCGCTGTCGCCGCGTCCCTCCGGCCACTGAAAGGGCTCAAGTCTCCACCGCGCCTCCGGCCCTCGCCTCGCCCCGTCCTTGGAGAGCCTCGCGGGCGCCTTGGCTGCGCGCGCCCGCAGAGAGAGGCGCGGGACAGCGCCGGTTTGGGTCGGCGGTTTGGGTGCATTGAACATCTGTATGAGATGACAAGGCCCGTTTGTAAGGGGATGTAACTGCTCGTTTTACTGTTACCAGAACACTCACTGGAGGGGCTTCCCGATGGAAAACACCTGGTGCTCCTCCAGCCCACCTGCGGGGGAGATGAGCATGGGGCGAGGGGTGGGGGCCCCTTCCTGGAGGAACGGACACGGCGCCTGCGCCCGTCCTGGGGCCCGCCAGCAGCTGTTATTTCTTTCCTTCGTTGCCTCGAGCCCCCTCCCCAAGGCCTAGAGCGTGGCTTCTGCAGGCCAAGTACTCGTTGGAGGGAACAGAGTTACGCAGCCCGAGTGCAGCAGGTGAGGCGGGCCCTCCTGCCCTGGCCTCTGGGACTCTGTAAGTCCCCTGTGGGTGCTGAGGCCCTTTCCCTCAGCGAGGAACAAACGGCCACCCTCGCATGCAGGAGTCTTAGAGCTCCTGGAGCAGGGCTGCGTTGTGACATCGTGTTGACAATGTGCCTCTTACTCTCCTAAGTGTCTCAGAGGTAATAGGAACTGTCATTCACCGTGCAGAGAATTTAACACCAAGCCTGAGCAAGTTCAATCAAGTTAGAGACAAAGGGGGCAGTGGATGGAGGCAGGAGACTACACAGAGAGGTACTTGGATAGATAACAGACAGAGGGATGACAGGTAGGTAGGCAGGTGGATCGGGGAATAGATCAGTGACAGGTTGTTAGAAACAAGATACCTGGGGCCGGCTTTGTGATATGGCAGGTAAAGCCACCGCCCGAGACACTGGCATCTATTCACTTACCTACCTGCCATTCTGTTATCTATCTACCTACCCTATCTATCTATCTATATCTATCTATCTATCTATCTATCTATCTATCATCTATCTATCTATATCATCTATCATCTATCTCTCCCTATTTCCTATCTATGTGTCTGTCATCTAGGTATCTTTTTTTTTAAGATTTATTTTATTTACTTGAAAGGCAGAGATACAGAGAAGACAGAGAAAGATCTTCCAACCACTCATTCATACCCCAAATGGCCGCAGTGGCTAGAGCTGGGCTGGTCCAAAGCCAAGAGCCAGGGTTTTCTTCCAGGTCTCCCACATGGGTGCAGGGGCCCAAGCACTGGGCCGTCCTCTGCTGCTTTCCCAGGCCTTTAGCAGGGAGCTGGATCAGACGTGGAGCAGCCAGGCCTCTGCTTCTTGTGGAAACTAGGATCGTCAGGTAGCACCTGCCTCCAGGGTGCTGAGCTCATGGGTGACAGGTGCTGGGTGCCTCGTAAGCCCAGGACTTCTCCACAGGCGACGAGCAGCAGTTACAATGCAGCAAGAAGGACATTAACCCTCCCCCCAGGAAAGGAAGAGAATCCTCAAAGGAAAATGAGCTTCTCATAGCATATGAAGTTGTGTGTCATCTCAAAAGTGCACTGTAGGATTTCGTTGTTTTTTCTTTTGAATGTCACTTGGAGCCAGGGAGAAGCCTGTCAGCTTCCCTCCTTTCTTTCTGAGAGGCAGAAATACAGAGAGAGCTCCCATCTGCTGGTTCACTACACAAACGCCTGCAACAACCAGAGCTGAGCCAGGCCGGAGCCAGAAGCCAGAACTTCCCTGCAGGTCTCCCTGTGGCTGCCTGAGCCATCACCATGCCTTCCAGGTCTGCGTTAGCAGGAAGCTGGAGCCAAGAGCTGGAGCTGCGATGCAGATGCCTTAGCTGAGGTCTTAACCACTAGGCCAAACACCCAGCCCCTCATCACCCCAAAAGTACATGAAAATCTCAGGTGGCCTTGCAGATCGGAAGAGCTCAGGCTGCCATAAGTATCAGACGGTGCCCATGCAAAGAGGCAACTACACGGCAGGCCAGGGGGGTGAAGGCACAGAACGGACACCATTGGACGGGAGCAAAGATGATGGGTCCATGGCTCCTGTCTCAGCCGGGGACAGGAGATGGGAGACCGCATGCAAGTGGCTTTGCAAATAAAAGGCTCCAACTTTGCAAATAAAAGCCTGTGTTCTACTCACACGTGCCCCACACAACCAGGCTGCAGCCGTGAGCAAAGGAGTTGCAGCATTTATTTCATAACTATCCATGTCTCCCACTTCACCAACTTCCTGAAGATCTCCGACTTTACCCAGGCTCCTGAAAACAGCATCAGCCGCTGCTTGCTGCAAAAGGCCATCGCAGGCTGTGCCCCCGAGTCCCGGGCCACACCCTGAGATCAGCACTATCATCACACCTGTGCCACGCACCTGTGATGTCCCGAGTGCACTGGCCTCCCCGGCAGGGGCAGAGTGTCCATTTTCCCTTGCTTGTTTAGCATCTCTCTCCTCATTAGGACGGACGCACCACGTGCCTGGGCCTGTTCTCCATCTGATTCCCCGAGGTAGTCCCGGCTTCTAGAACAGTTACTGACACGTTGTTGGCGCTCGGTCACCACCTGAGAAGGGGCTGCATGGACCGACCTCAGCATCCCGGGCCGCCCTTGAGTGCCTTGCCCTGCCCCGGCACCGCCCGTGTCTTTCCTATTCTCAGTCTTTTCCACTTGACACTCAGCATTTCCGTCTTCCTTACAAAGTCATTGAAAGAGGAAACTAACAGAAATGATCCCACATGGAGAATTAGATTCATCTTTTCCCCGTCTCGTCTCGAGCGGGGACCTGCGCGCTAAGGGAGGCGCTTTCTCGGCCTCGTCTCAACTGAGCCAATTTGCGGGAAGAGCTGGGGAGGATCCGGGGCAGGAGCTCTTCCACGCCTGGCCACAGACGCGGCTGGGACTACAGCCGCACCACGCCCGGCGGGATTCAGACTCGGCCCCACGCTACACGCCACCAGGCAGGTAGGCCCGTGTTTGCCTAGTGTGTTAGGTTATAGACGGGAAAGAAGAGAGGGAGGAGAGAGGGAGGGAGGGAAGGAAGGAGAGAGGGAGAGAGGAGAGGAGAGAGGGAGGGAGGGAGGGTGGGAAGGACAGATGGAAGGGTCAAATCTAAGAGGCAAAAAAAGCCTTCTGAAGTGCAGTGATCCCTCGCATCAGCATCAGTAATCCTCAGGTTTGTGTATGCGTGAGAATCACTTGGAGAGTTGAACCCCCGAGCCTCACCATCCATAAAGCCTTACAGAATGAGGATATTGGCCACAGGCTTCTTCCTAGCCATCTGTCAAGTTTTTGTTCTGTTTTGTTTTTCAATTAAGTATGTTTTAGCTAGAAATAGTTCCATGACAGTTGGCAGAAAACTCAAACTGATTTACTCAAAATAGGAACTCATTGACTCCCATCATGTAGGCAGCTTCAGGCGTGGGGGGATCCAGGAATTCAAACCACAGCCGCTCAGTTCCTCCCTTTTTCTGCTTTCTTCAGAGTTGGCTTCACTCCTGGGTCTGCGCTCTCTGGAGCAGCTCCTAGTAACTTGACATTCACATCCTCTCTGTTGTAAACCCGGGAGACAAAACAGCCCAGTGAAAGTCCCGAGTTCAAGTCACATGTGACCATCTTAATGCCCATTCAGGGACCCATCAATATGCCAGGTCTGGGAATCAATGTCCAGTCTTAAGTCAGGCGACCTAGTCAGTACCCCCCCTTCAAAAAAAAGGCTAGAGCCTTGGCTCACTTGGTTAATCCTCCGCCTGTGGCACCGGCATCCGGGTTCTAGTCCCCGTTGCTCCCCTTCCAGGCCAGCTCTCTGCTGTGGCCCAGGAGGGCAGTGGAGGATGGTCCAAGTACTTGGGCCCTGCACCCCCTGGGAGACCGGGAGGAAGCACCTGGCTCCTGGCTTCGGATCGGCACAGCACCGGCCATAGCAGCCATTTGGGGGGTGAACCAATGGAAGGAAGACCTTTCTCTCTGTCTCTCTCTCACTGTCTATAACTCTACCTGTCAAACAAAAAAAAAACATGAGCTGAAAGTGGGGTGGAAGCTAGTAAAAAAAAAAAATCAGAGGCCGGTGCTGTGGCAGACGCAGTGGGTTAAGCGCTGATTGTGACATCAGTATCCCGTATCAGAGCGCCAGTTCAGTCCTAACTGCTCTGTTTCTGATCCAGCTCCCTGCTAATGCGCCTGGGAAGGCAGCAGATGATGCACCAACTACTTAGAGCCCTGTTACCCACATGGGAGGCATGGAGGGAGTGCCTGGTTCCTAACTTTGGCCTGACCCAGACCTGGTTGTAGTGGGCATTTGGAGAGTAAGTCACAAATGGAAGATTTCTCTGTCTTTCTCTCTCTCAAATAAGTAAATAAATAAAAATTTTAAAGATTTATTTTATTCATTTTGGAAGTCAGAGTAATAGAAACAGAGGGAGAGGCAGAGAGAGAGAGAGAGATCTTCCATCTGTTGATTCACTCCCAAGATGGAAACAATGGCCAGCGCTGGGCTACGATGAAGCCAGGAGCATCTTCTGGGTCTCCTGTGTGGGTGCAGGGGCCCGAGGACTTGGGCCGTCCTCTACTGCTTTCCCAGGTGCATTAGCAGGGAGCTGGATGCAAAGTGGAGCAGCCAGGACTCCAACCAGTGCCCATATGGGACGCTGGCATTGCAGGCGGCGGCTGTACACGCTACATCGCCACGCCAGTTCCAAATAAACATTGTTAAAAAGAAGGAAAATAGTTACTATAAAAACAAACTGGCAGAGTCCCCGACACATAACCTGGCACACAGCGGGTTCCAATGCACACCTGCTCTTCACAGGAGCCCTGGACGACAGCAGCCCAACCTCTGGGAGTCGCGGAGCACAGAGCCACCCCTTTGGGCAGCGCTGTGTCCCCCGGGCAGGAGTTCAGGAGTTCCTGCAGGGCTTTCCCCACTCTTCCCTCCCTGCACCCCCTCCCCATGGGCTCTCACTCGCTTGGTCCGGGGAGGGGTCTGGGCAACCCTGGGCGTTGACCGCACCCGGAAGGGTTGAGTGCATGGCCAGGGCTGAGAGTGCCTCCGCGAAGCCCAGGTGTCCGCTCGGCTGGTGCCCACAGGCCTCCCACCCGGAGCCTCTGATCCTTTAAGACCCGGGGAGTCATTAGGAAATAATCATTATATGTGACGCTTTAATGCAGAATTTGAAAATCTCCCCCAATTATTTCTTCCAAAGCCCTAAAGAAGGATGGTGGCAACCTGCTAAAAAATGCACAGTGGAACTGAGTGTGTGTGGGGGGGGGTGTGTGTGTGGGGGTGTGGGGGGGGTGTGTGGGGGTGTGTATGGGTGTGAGTGTGTGGGGTGTGTGGGGGGTGTGTGGGTGTGTGTGTGTGTGGTATGTGTGTGTGTGTGGTATGTGTGTGTGTGTGTGTGTGTGCGCACGCGCAGGGCTGCATGCCTTACTTTGGGTGTTTAAACCAGGAGCAGAGATAACTCAGGAACTTAACCAGTGCTGAGTCATGTCTTCCCGTCTTTCTGACTTCCCCTCCCCCCCCACTTCGTTTCATCCACAGACATTGGACAAAAGGTGGGAGGTGTTTCCCCCAGGGACCGACAGCTGGGCATTGTGTACCTCCAGATGGGATACCCTGCGGAGGACACAGCATCCCCCAGGACCCCACATCCCAGCACTGACGATTGTCACAGAGAAATGCACGGTGAGGAGCATCTAACACAGTAGGGCTGGGGAGAGGACTCGGTTCTCCAAACAGGCTAATATTGTAAACAGCAAAGAAAAGCTGTGGAAGGTTCCAGGTGCAGAAGTACTTGAGTCAGCAAGCAAACGGGTATGAAAATCTCCATAGGCAAATAAGGGCTATCCAGATGCCCTTGACATTGTTTCTATCCTAATAACTTTTTTGGTAAATCTGAACTTACTTTCAAGTAAAAAAGCTGAGGGCAGGAAAGACTGTAAACAACAAACCCTGAATCGTGGAAATACACTCATGACTCATCAGGATCAAGAGTTCCAAACACCCATACCCACCCACCCACACACACATACACACACATCCACACACACACTTACACCCACACACACCCACATACACACACATCCACCCACCCACACACACACACACTCACACACACACACACAACCACACACACACACATCCACCCACACACATACCTGCACACACATCCACACACACACACATCCACCCACACACACATACACACACATCCACACACACACACCTACACACACACATACACACACACATACACATCCACCCACACACATACCTGCACACACATCCACACACATCCACACACACACACCTACACACACATACACACACATACACACACACATACACACACACACTCACACACACACACACACACCAGAACTCAGTCTATGCTGATGAGACCTGTCACCCACATGGGAGACCCAGACTGAGCCCCAGGCTCCCGGCTTCAGCCTGGCCCAGCCCCAGCCGCTGTTGAGGGCTTCTGGGGAGTGACCAAGTGGACGGAAGATGCTTCTCTCTCTCTCTCTCTTTCTCTCTCTCTCCATGTGTCTTGTCTCTCTGCCTTGCAAATAAATAATTTTTTTTTCAGTTCTTTAAGAAAATATTGTCAGATTTCCTGATGGAGTTCCTTTTAAAAATAAAATAATGAAGTAAATAAGGGGAAATTTACGCTTAGCATATACCCGGCAGTCCCACTCATCACCCAAGAAAAATGAAAACCTATGCCCACAAAAATCCCTGTGCTCAAACAGCTTTACTCATAGGCAAAATCCGAGGAGAGTCAAACGCCCGCGACCTGGACAGTGAATGAGCCAAGCTCAGTGCGTCTCTCTGGTGCGATGTTGTTCAGCAATTTGAGGGAAGGACTTACTAACACACTCAAGAATATGGGTGAACCTCAAAAATGGTATGTTCAGTGAAAGAAACGTATGATCGCATTGACACGAAATTCTAGAAAAGGCAAGCATAACGACAGAAAGCAGATCAGTGATTTCTGTGGTTGTGGTGATGGTTAGATGACTGTATGTATTTGTCGGAACTCAAAACAAGACTTAGCATGGGTGCTTTGTGTTATGTGACAACTTTACCTCAATAAAATTGACACATTGGTCTGCAGAGTGAATTTCTGTCAAACATGAAGCTTGTTCTTTTTCCACCTCCACAGAAGTCCAAGCCCTGGCGCTGCTGCCTGTCCCCGCTGACGTCCCTGCTGAGCGGCTGGGTCACCATGACCTCCCATGGTGTTACCTGAGGGCAAATAATACTGGTGACTAAGACTCGGCCTTCCTGGCCTCACCCACAGAAGGGAGTCACAGGAGTGCACCTGCTCCGGCTTGTTTGGGGAGGGCAAGGGGAACTAATACATAGAAAGAATGCGAGTGCTTCCGAAAGTTCATAGAAATGGAATAAAAGGTAAGTCTATTTGGGTGCAAAGAAAAACCCTTTGAAATCCAGGCGTAGTTTCTTGCTTATCCACATTTTCCATGAACTCTGTGAAGATCCCTCCTACAAAGAAGTACAACTCGGTTGGTGTTCGGTCAACATCAGCAGGCTCCCGGCCAGCTCTAGTGGACCATGTTCTGTGCCCGGCTCTCCAGCGACCTCATTGCACCCCCATCAGTCAGGGCTTCTCATTCCCCTGGAAGAGTGAAGGGGCTGAGGATCCGAGTGGTGCCCGGACTTCCGGCCACACTGCTGGCGCAGGGCTAGAGTCGGGGTTTGGATCCACACCCGCCTGCACACTCGCGAGTGCAACCAGAATCTCCACTTTCCCTCTCCCGTTCTTGACTCACCAGGGAGTCATTTCCTGTACCATTAGCTGCTTCAATGCTCCTGTGCCCACTGAGCCCTCCGCCTGCCTCCAGGCCTGTCCTTATCAGGGATTTGCTAGAAGGGGATCCAGTGGGCTTTGACGCACTAATGGTGCCAAGCCTTCTCTGATCAAGTTCTTCACAGCTCTTGCCCTCTCTGACGCTGTAGATTTGATATTTTTTGCTGATTATCAAAATACATAGACAGTAGTCCCTTCCTAACCCCGTCCCCTTACCACTGGTGAAACCTAAGCTCCCTGGCATGGGGACTAGATTTGGGTAGCATGTAAGGTGTGGCTTTCGCCCTAATACCTAGACCATTCACATGCAACAGGGTATCATCATACAGTTTAAGAAGGAACTTGCAAAACCATCATAGACATTTGCATGTTTATGGGTGGGGAAATCCAGAGAGGTTAGGTGACTTCCCTAAGCTCACACAGCTTGGGGTCAAAGCCATAGAGTAAGCACTGAATTTTTTTGGGTTCCCCATCAAGCAAAGGACAGTTCCCGACCCACTTTGTCCTTCTCTTCCAAGCTGAAGGAGGCAGGAAGCACAAGGCACAACCTCGTCATGTTCTGAAATCTTTATTGTTTATTAATGCAACATCACGTGGCGGGGCTGGGGCATTTGACCTAGGCCTCGCCTTGGCTGTCGGATACCATCTCCAAACCATTAACAGAATGCAAGTTTACATTTGTGTCCACTCAGAGACCATGCTCCTCTGTGGTAACGTGTCCTGTACACCCTATGGTCCTGTATATAGCACAGTGTCAGTGCAACAAAGGTGAATCGTGACTGTGTGTGTGTTTTCAGGCTCTTGTTTTGTTCAATGTAAACACTGAAAAAAAAGCTCCATAATTTTTGGTAACTTTTCTTTAGAGCTCTCTGTTGTTATTTCTTAAGATGCCTCATGGGGGTGGGCCTGGCCAGCTTCTGTGTGGTCCTGCACCTGTTTACCATCCATATTCCTGGAGGTCCGTCCCCATCTTCTTTGTTCTGAGGCCCACGGCTCTCTGGAGAGCTCGGAGAGGAGACAGTCTGCTTAGGCACAAGCTCCAACAGGCAGGGCTGGTTGTGCAACTTACTTACCCCTTCAGCCTTGTGCATCTCTCGTCAGCTCAGCCCTCTGCCTGGTTGCATGCTGTTTTGGGATGACTTGGCATGAAGCATTATCTCTACAAGAAAAACAAGTCAAAGGCTTCCGCCTCTGATGGCAAAATCACCGCTCGCTCAATGGAGAGCCAGGGAAATGGGTGCCTGGCGATACCTGGCCCACAGATTATGGGTGATATCCCACATGCCAGAGCATTGCATAGGGGCCCATTAAGGAGAGATATTTGGGAGTGTGTGTGTGTCATACACTCAAAATATATGCAAATGTCCTCACACAGGGGAGAAAGAACTCCAGCCAACGGGGTGAGTTTGCACTCCTGTTATGAAAACTGGTTGCTAAAGAGGTCCTTTGCTCTGATCATCGAAACTGACATGGAGGGGCCAGAGCTGCGGCACGGTGAGCGCCGGCATCCTATTTGGGTGCTGGTTTGAGTCCAGCTGCTCCACTTCCGCTCCCGCTCTCAGCTGTGGCCTGGGAAAGCAGTAGAAGATGGCCCAAGTCCTTGGGCCCCTGCACCTGCATGGTAGATACAGAAGAAGTTCCTGGCTCCTGGCTTTGGATAGGCGCAGCTCCAGCTGTTGTGGCCATCTAGGGAGTGAACCAGCGGATGGAAGCCCCCCCCCCCCCGCCTCTGCCTCTCTGTAACTCTGTCTTTCAAATAAAATAAATAAATCTTAAAAAAAAAAAAAAGAAATTGACATTTGAAAGTATTGGGTGATCTTGGCCGGCGCCACAGCTCACTAGGCTAATCCTCCGCCTGCGGTGCCAGCACCCTGGGTTCTAGTCCCAGTTGGGGTGCCGGATTCTGTCCTGGTTGCTCCTCTTCCAGTCCAGCTCTCTGCTGTGGTCCGGGAACGCAGTGGAGGATGGCCCAAGTGCTTGGGCCCTGCACCCGCATTGGGAGACCAGCAGGAAGCACCTGGCTCCTGGCTTCAGATCGGCACAGCGCACCGGCCGCAACATACCAGGCATAGCGGCCATTGGGGGGTGAACCAACGGCAAGGGAAGACCTTTCTCTCTGTCTCTGTCTCTCTGTCTCTCTGTCTCTCTCTCTCTCACTGTCTAACTCTGCCTGTCCAAAAAAAAAAAAAGTATTGGGTGATCTCAAATTATGCTTTAAATGACTATTCAATCACAATATCTTTTTTAAAATATGTATTTATTTTTATTCGAAAGGCAGAGTTACACGCAGTGAGGAAAAGACAGAAAGAGAGAGAGAGAAATCTTCCATTTGCTGGTTCACTCCCCAATGGCTACAAAGGCCATGGCTGGACCAGGCCAAAGCCAGGAGCCACAGAACTTCATCTGGGTTCCCAACTTAGGTGCAGGGGCCCAAGGACTTGGGCCATCTCCTGCTGCTTTCCCAAGGACATTCTCAGGGTGCTGGATGGGAAGTAGAGCAGCCGGGATTGGAACCGGAGCCTACAAGGGACACTGACATCATTAGGCACCACACCAGCCCCCACAGTCGGAGTATCTTAGACACAGTGTCGGTGACTGAAACAGGCCCATTCGTTAGAACAGCCTGACGTTGAGCACAAAAAAGCCTGGGGACCCGATTCTTGAGTTAGTGACTTTGCTCTACTGCAAAGGGTGAGCGTTAACCAGCATAAGGACTTCCCGCACATGCAGAGTTCAGGTCAGAGGCGAGAGGGTGCCATGGCCAAGTCCACTCCAGTTGCAGATGACAGCAACAGCGAAAAAAGGGAAGGCATTAGCTTACATAGCTGATGCATCCAAATGTCCACTTCCTTCAGGGACAGCTGCATCCAGGCAGCACGCAGAGCTATCAGGGCCTGTCATTCTCCATTCCTGGGTCTCCCCTCCGTGCTGGCCTGACGTTCACGTAGACGCTCTCCACGTAAATGCCAAACACCTGCAGCTGCAGGTCTAGGTGATCCTCAGGCTGGGGAGTCCTATACATACACACACACACACACACACATACACACACACACATGCAACACGTGTACACACACACACCTCTTTCCCCAGTAGATCTGAACATCCCAGGTAAGAAAAGCACCGGAAGATGGCCCAAGTGCCTGGAACCCTGCCACCCATCTGGGAGATGTGGAAGAAGCTCCTGGCCCTTGGCTTTAGCTTGGTGTCGCTCCCCCTCTTCGTGGAGGAACGACACGGGACCCTGAGCTGTTCTTTTGTCTGCTCGGCCCTTCCTGGGTTTGCTGCTGGTTCTTCCCGGGTTGGCTGCCATCCCTCCACCTCCGTGGAAGGGCGGCTCCCCCTGCCACTTTCCCCACTTTCGCGGGGGAGCGGCACACCGCTGGCCGGCTCTCTCGGGGCTGCTCAGCTGTTATCCGGATGTTCCCCTTAGATGTTCCTGGTGCATGTTGTCTCTCTCCTCCTTTATAGTCCTCTTCCACCAATCCCAACTCTGATACCCACACGTCGAGCACACTGCTCTCCTCCAATCAGGAGCAAGATCAGCTCCTGCAGCTCAGTCAAATTGGCGAGAGGCAGCTGTGTAGAAGCTGTTTCCTCCTCTCCCAGCGCCATATTGTGGGAGAGCAGATGCATAGAATAAGTCTTAATTCCAGTAACTTAGTCTAGTCCGAGTTGCTCCCCACAGCCTGGGTCATCCTTGGCCATTGCAACCACTTAGGGAGTGAACCAGCAGATGAGAGACTCTCTCTCTCTCTCTCTCTCTTTCTCTCTCTCTCTTTCTCTCTCTCGCGCTTGCCTTTCAAACAAATAAATCTTTTTTTAAGATGAGCAACTTGTGATTGGATCAGGTAGTCAGCCTTCACATCCTGCAGTAAAAATTATGATTTGTCTATTTCACCCCTGTTGGAGGACCAGCAGGTGTGCTACCTATTGTGCAGGTCAGAGTCTCAGAATCCCAGGGATTTGAAGGGATATCATTGCACGGACGCCACATCATTCTCAGGTTCATCAAAAAACGTGCACAGCAACAAGAGTGACTGCAAAAGGAGTGGAGTTGGCCGTGATCAAGACCACGTAATTGACGCAGTGAAATGTGTCATCATAGGGTCTAAGAAACATTTGCCATCCCAGTATCCCCGAGGAGACTGCAGGAAGAACCGTGACAGATGGGAATTAATGAGGTCCACACTGACGTGGGCGTGGCCAATAAGCATCAACCAGCACAGGAGAGGAATTTCTGAATTCTCCAGAAGCTTTGTAAAAGCCGAACAACAGACAACTCAACTATGTGCAGCTGGAAATAGATGCAAAAAAAATGAAATTATGATTTTGGCCAACACAACAAATGCAGAATCAAAATATTTTCTCAAGAGGGTTCCCAGGGATTCAGCACGGGACATTTTCTTTCTGGGTCAACAGTCCCAGGAAGGAGACAATTTAGAAGCCAGAGTCTCCGTTCCTACAGTTTCTGGATACACATGTGGTGGAGGAGAATGGCAGCTGCATTGAAAGACAGCTGCGAATGGTGTGTGATTTGGAAGATCCAGATAGACAACAGGGACGAGCTGGCTGCGGACTTCCCGGACGAAGCGGCGCACCCCAGGCAGCGTGTGCGTGAGCACAGGTCTGCAAAGCCAGAATGTCCTGCCAGGAAAAGAGGAACTGGGAGATAATTGGGGGTGCAGTGAAACAGAAGCGTCTGCGATTAAAACTGTTGTCTGCAGTACTAGGACAGGACAACTAAATCACTCGCGTTGATATATTACAGGGAGAAATTGTACTTGTAAAAATGGCACTTTTCATTTTGGGGTGGTTTGTTTTGTTTTGTTTTATTGGCTTTTTTAAAAAAACCATTTTGTTAAAGTACAGTATACATACCAAAAAGCGCACTTAAGTATGCAGATCAATGAGCTTTTTGTCATCGCTCATCATCGTAACCAGCACGCAAATTAAGAACAAAGCCTTACTGCTATGCTGAGTCCTCACTGTCCCCCCACCCCCCGCTCTCTCTCTCTCTTTTTTTTTTTTTTTTTTTTTTTTTGGAGAGGCAGAGTTAGATAGTGAGAGAGAGACAGACAGAGAGAAAGGTCTTCCTTTTCTGTTGGTTCACCCCCCAAAGGCCACCAGGGCCGGGGCGCTGCACCGATCAGAAGCCAGGAGCCAGGTGCTTCTCCTGGTCTCCCATGCCGGTGCAGGGCCCAAGCACTTGGGCCATCCTCCACTGCCTTCCCGAGCCACAGCAGAGAGCTGGACTGGAAGAGGAGCAACCAGGACAGAATCTGGCGCCCCGACCAGGACTAGAACCTGGGGTGCGGCCGGCGCCGCGGCTCACTAGGCTAATCCTCCGCCTAGCGGCGCCGGCACACGGGGTTCTAGTCCCGGTCGGGGCGCCGGATTCTGTCCCGGTTGCCCCTCTTCCAGGCCAGCCCTCTGCTGTGGCCAGGGAGTGCAGTGGAGGATGGCCCAGGTGCTTGGGCCCTGCACCCCATGGGAGACCAGGAAAAGCACCTGGCTCCTGGCTCCTGCCATTGGATCAGCGCGGTGCACCGGCCACAGCACACGGGCTGCGGCGGCCATTGGAGGGTGAACCAACGGCAAAGGAAGACCTTTCTCTCTGTCTCTCTCTCTCTCTCTCACTGTCCACTCTGCCTGTCAAAAAAAAAAAAAGAACCTGGGGTGCGGGCGCTGCAGGTGGAGGATTAGCCTATTGAGCCGCGATGCCAGCGATCAGGGTGTTTTTTTAAATCAATGTTGTAGAAGATTCATGCTGTTTGAGTAGAATTGGAAAAGGATTCAACATCATACATTTCATTCTGTCACACTGTTCTTGTAGAGTGCTAATTCCACACTTTCATGTACTTTTTAAAATTTTATATGGTTGGGCCAGTTTGAGACGTCTTAAAGTAGGGCGTACTTCTTAGGACTCCTCCGTGAGTCATCGGAATCATTTTTTAAGGGACGCAAGAAAGACCCGACAATGTTCTCGCTGTTGGATGAGTAGGTCAGGGTCCAGGTTCGAGCGCATCACCAGCAGAAACGCCCTGTGCCTGGAAAGCAGAGAAGGCTCCCCCTGAGGGGCAGGGCTGTCGGGCAGGCGGGACCGGTCTGCCGCCCTGGG